CTTGTATTCTTGAAATATATTAAATGATATCTCATTAAATATAACACATATCTGTCCTTCCAGTTAACTTATTGGGTTGCTCGCTCTATTGTGGAAACTGTTTCACTAGATGAGCGGGTGTATATGTTCTCACGAGTATTGGAAATAATGTCTGTTTTCGAAGAACTCAACAATTTCACTGGACTTGTTGCTTTGTATTCTGCTCTAAATAGTAGTTCCGTATATCGACTTAAGGCATGTTGGGAGGTATTTTTTTTTTTCATATTTGCCGAAAACGTATTTACGCCTCCTCTTATTGATGTTTATTTTAGACTATTTATTTCTCAAATTTAAAATTTTGTATTTGGGTTCACAATCACTAATTTGAAGAGAATTGATCGCGAAAAGCAAGTATGGTATGAAAAATTCAAAAAACTTTGCAATCCGCACTGGAAGGAAATGATTGAACGATTAAAAAGTATCAATCCGCCTTGCGTTCCTTTTTTCGGTCAGTTTTAATAAATATTATTGTACAGGTAGCTTTGAATAAAAAACTATTCCAACAAATTTTATTAACAAAAAAATTCCAGCGGAATATATATTACAATGTTCAAGAATCTTTTGTTTGCAGTAGCACTACCGATTTTCGTCATATTATATTTATATATTTTCTTTTATATTATTGTGTTTATCCGAAAACTTTAAGGTCATTATCTTTCCAAAATCTTTTTTTACGAGGAAGGAAACAGCACATTTGTACAGAGCGAAGATCTTACTCATGAACAGGTTTTTTTTTATCCACTTAAGATACAATTTATAATTATATATTTGTGTTGCAAATTAAACCACTCTGAGTCTTCAATGCTTGTTTAAGCTGACATGCTGAAAGTGCTTTTGAATATTCAAGATATTATATGTCAGTTCATAATGAGTACAATTTCGAACGTGGGCATTTAGGTTGGCAATAAATTTGAGTGGCTTTTGTTTGTCTTCGAAAATGAAAATTCAATGTCTGTTATGCTTTTATTCTGTAGAAGTGGCTTTTGCTTGGCTTCGGAAATGAAAAATGACTGTATTTTCATTTTGGTGTAGAAGACCATCATAAATTCAATTTTTGATATGTTTCACGGCTTATTTATCTTATTTAAAGCAGTTCCGGTCAGAGTTTATGTTCAATTTTATTATTCAACTTTTATTAATTGCTGTTTTGTCAGTTGATTTGTATTTTTTGAACAGATCACATCAAATTTAAAGTTTGATTTTTTAGTGATTGAAGTTTTCATGATAATCTAAAATCCATTGTATTTAAGATTAGTGCCGAAGGCAATACATCAGTTGTGGGTGCAACAGGCCGTAAAGTAATGGTGTCATTTGTGAAATGTCGTCGGATAGCATCAATTATTAGCGATATCCAAATGTATCAAAATGAACCGTATGCTTTGGAAGTAGAGCCAGGCGTGAGGGTAAGTGGTTTCATGAAATTTACAAATCCAATGATGAATTCTATATGCTGGATCGACTGCATCTTAATATCGGTTACAGATGTTCACTTTTTACTTTTTTATTATCTATCTAAATAACATTATTCACAGCAATCTTTTTAGATAGTTTAAAACTGCTCATTTCTTTCTTCCTTTCAGTTTTATATTGGAAATACTTTATTTTTTTGCTGTTGTTATATTAGCTTTTTTGATATCTTTCCTTCCATGCAATTATTTTTATTATCTACGATAGAAATAAAAACCAACAAAATAGAGAAATCACCGGAATTCGCAATAATTTTTTTGTAGGTTAAAAATTGCATTAAGATGATAGTTTAAAAATGTATAGAAATAGTTCCGATGAGCATTTTTTTCAGTACGTGGTATGCTAGACCTCGTCTCCGTCTTTTTTCTTCTTGAGAGCTTTTTTTTTATGTGTAATGACCCTTTTATTTTCTATTCTGATTACAGTTTTTCTAATCGTTTTATATTCTTTATTCAAAAAATTTTCAAAAACATACCAAGTTTATTATGCTCGTTTGGATTAACAAATCCTTTTGAAAAAATCTAAAATTACTGTTAAATCGAATCTGCTTATTACTGAAGTACTTTCTGTGCTTTATTTGAGAATACAAAAGCAAAGCACTGATTTTGCGATGAGTTTTTTCAAGAGAATTGCAACGGAAGTTAGAGGAAAAAAGAATGAGCTAGTCCATTAGTAACAGGAAGAGGCGGAGAAGGAAAAATTTGTTTCTAACAAACTACCGGAAATTCATTTTTTGGAGAATGGGAAGAAGAAACGAAATGTGTTTATCTTATCTGTTCTCGCCAAAAACATCAATTCATTACCCTGTTAGAATGTTATTTACTGTTTCTGTAGCATGTTCATCGAGACTAGTGTTTGAGTTGTTGAATCTTGGAATTCTTTCAAATCATCAGCTCTTTGCTTTTTCTTCTCTCTGCTTTACCTTCTTGCGTTGAAATGGAGTTCGCCTCACTTCATTTTACTCTTTTTCTTCTCTCACATGCAACTATCTCTTTTCTGTTGATAGATCATTTATTTGATATGTTTTGCATTAAAACAATTTAGTTTTTGAACTAAACTGGAAATGATAGCTAATCATTAGAAATCCGGTGTAAATCTGACAAATATGTGAATGTATGGTTCCAGAGTGTTCGTTTTTTTTTCGTCTTCGACTACACTGCTGAAATTTCGATTGTCAGTTGTTAACTGCAATGTTCTGGAACCTTTTTAGTCCTTTCGTTTTGACATATTCCATGGGATATTCTGAGGACATTTGTAAAAGGTTGAAAAGTTTGAGATCGACTTACATCCATCCGGGAAAGTTTACGATATTAGTTAGGAATTTCTGGAAATTTAAAAAATCCTGAAAATTTCAATGTTACCACCCTGAGATCATTTGTTCTGAGAGAATTGAGATAGACGTAGTGTCTGCTGAAGGTGTCAGTCACTGCCGACGTGGATTTTGCCAAATCAAATGGATCAGTAGCAGTTGTGGTAGAAAGCGCCCTTTGAGGCCGGCAACTGCAAACAGTAAAAAATGATTGGTGTCTCTTTGTGTGTCCGGAGAAACATTTAGCTATTTGCTGGCTTAATTCTTCCTCGCATTTGATCATTTGGCAATGATTCGTAGACGACATAGAGAAGGGTTGATTGCGATAGTTGGGGAAAGAAGATGGAGAGGAGATGTAGAGAGGGCGATATATGCAAACTTTGTGTAATCAGCGTTTGGAACTTATGTTGAAGAGAGGCAGATGATTGTGATTAATTTCGGATTTGATAGCTTCTATTGATGGCCTTTCCTCTTTTCGTAATCCCATCTGCGGCGGTGAGAGGTTGGACATTGAAGTTTTTTTTCTTAAAGTTTCTTAACGAATAACTTAAACGATTTCTTATTCGCATAGTTTTACTGTTGTTGTCTTCATCATTCATTTCCCATCAAAATAATGATGTTCTCTTTGCTGTAAATTTTACCTGTTTAAAAATTTTTTTGATTGGAAAAGGGAGATGAACGATATAGAGAGGTTGGTGCTAAAATCCAACAACATTGAAAATATTTAATGAAATCTTCAATTTCAAAAGTACTGTAGTAATTTCTAGAGAGAGTTTCTTCTCCAATTTCGGAATAATTTACACATGGCTTCGGAATTTCAAAAATCTTTAGAGATTTTAATGCAGTCATTTCTCGATTTACCTGGTCCAAATCTCAATCTTCATTTACAATATGTAAGTAAGTCACAAAGATTGTACTTTTTATTTCATATCTCTTGCTTTGTGACTCTAAAAACATAAACAAGCTTTTAGAATAATTTCTGTCTAAGAAATTTGCCTGTCCTTAAAAAGAACTTTACTACTAAAGCTTCACTCTTACATGTTTCTTGGTTGTTACTATAGTTATGTAAGTATATCATCCAGTTGTTTGCTATTTTTCTTCTCGAATTAAAATACTGATAAAATATTATGAAATCCTTCATTTTTGTTCATCTCAATTTTAGTCTTCCTTTGATCTTGGCTACACACATCCTGATCGTTGTAGTTTTCGCTTTCCCTTCCATTTTAGTTGTAAAAGAAATTTTACCGATTATTATTATTTTTTTTTTAAATCTTCCGCTAAACATAGTTGTAAAGAAATTTTACCGATTATTTTTAAAATCTTCCGCTAACAAATAGATCGGTTGTTTACTGTGAGAAATTTTCTAGATCTTTTACTATGTTATCGAACATAATCAAATTTAGACAGCTGTTATTTGTGGGATCCGATGATATCGTGGGAAGATGTATATATCTATCCCGTTGTGAGAAGTAATGAATGGTACCGTTTTGGGAATTCAGTGGTTCCTATCACTCTTCAAACTCGTACCATAATGTTTATGTATACATATGTGCATATATATATGGTATATATGTGTGTGTATGTGGATGTATGTGGATGTGTGTGCATGTGGATGTGTACATGTATGTGTGTATGTGCATGTGTGAGTTACAATTGATCAGTGTGCCCGGTATAGAACCGATCTGTTGTCCATTTCTATGATCCTTCAATCACTTTATGCCTTTATCGCCTTCAACTGTCATGCTTCTTACATGCTATAAAAGGATTCTCTCTCCTATTTTTTCCTCATTTTTGTTTTTTGCATATTCTTTTTTGGTTTGTTCTTTTGATGTTTCGGGTCATATCATTTTTTTTGGCTATTTTCTGTATTATTTCCATGTACTTTAAGCTGGGAAGGGCTGAAAATTCTCAACATATTTTCTAAACTCTTAAAATTTAATGATGATTTTCACCGTTAGGTATTCTGGGCACTGCAAAATACTCAAAAGAAAAAATTATGTTTCAGTATAGAAATATTGGTTGTTTTTTAATTCAAAATGAAACTAATTAAAGGTAAACCAAAAAAAATAAAAAATTAAAAATTGCAAAGGAATTGGCATTGTCCAAGATGAATAACAAAAGCAACACAACAACAAATTAGTTTTAAAGTTATCCAAAACTCTACCGTTTTAAATTTAGATTTCTTTTTATCTAATTTGTTTTTTATCTAAACTTTATCTAAATTGGGCGAGGGAAGAAAAACAGAAGAAAGAGAAATAAATGAATTTAGTAGAAATGAATGAATTTAGTAATTTCCGATTCATTTTATCCATGTAATATAATGTGCATTTTTTGTTGCCATCTAGAAGTCTCTTATATCGGGACTTATGGAAGCAGTTTGAAGGATTTGAATCGGATAATAGCATCTTTTTTTTAACTTTCATTGCTGCCAGTGAAAAAAAAATCATTGTTTTCGATTCTTCAGTCAGTTAATTTTTCGAATTTCATAGAATTTAGTTCCTATTCTTTTAAAATTATTTGAATGGTTGATTCCAGTTCAATTTAAATAACGATAATTTTACATATTTTATGATTTTTAAGATATTTTTATAAGATCAAGTTTCTTTTATAAAAGCAATTTTTCGATGTGAATTAGTTGAAAATGAATTTGCTGGTATGTTGATTTAATAGATAAAAAGAAGTATCAGAAATGAGATATGGGTTGAATTTAATAAAGGTAGGTGAAAATAAATTTTTGAAAGGAATGCAATCAGTTCAGATCCATCAAATTATTGGCAGTTTCAATTAAAACGTTTTCCACCTGCATTATACATTAGCTATGTGAAAACTATAGTTAATACATAAATGTGTTGGGTGAATCATGAGCCACATCAAACTTTCACTTTTTTTCTGGAAAAAAGGCAAAATTTCTGCTTGGAAGCACTAAAATTGCATATTTATTTTCTTCTTTGCCATATTTTATAGTTTATATTATGAATAGATTTTATTCTAAAGTTTAGTTTTTTTTAAGTTTTATATTTATAGTTAGCTTTTATCGCAATCATTTGGAAGGTTTTTAACAGACGATCAGTTTAGACTGAGTATGGGCATTTACTACACTCATTTTAGTTTTTAAAAGTTTTCATTTCTTGTTTATCATGAAAATGATGCGATATATCTTTGTGTAGAAATTTTTTTTATTGTGCAAAATTGTAGTGTTACGTGTTTATTTATGCTCATTTGCGCTTTTGCGTTAACTTTTTCACAATTATAAGTGAAGTAAACATAATTGTATTGTGAAGAGATGGTACTAACTGATTATTGCGAGACAACACCGCTTATTGCTGATAAATGTGTCATGAGCAGACGGAAACGATGGTTTTGCCAAACTAAGGTGAGCAATGTTCAATTTTTTTCTGATGAGGTAAATAAGAATATTGTGCTCATTGTATTTATTCAGGAAAACTCTGTACTCTTTGTAAAGATCATATATTTTTGCTGATATAATAGTAAAGCAATCAGTGAGTTATTATTTTAGAGTATTATCTTTAATCCAAAAAAATTAAAAAAAAAACTCACTTTTGATTTTATTTAAAGAATAACGAATGAGCAAAATAATTTTTCCTATTCATTTTTAATGACTGCAAATATGAAAACGCATTTACTTAAGTAGATTTGTAATTCAGTAGCGCCTTTACTGGCATTTCAGTGTTGTTTCCGATATTCATATTACTGAAATTCAGCAGTATTGGTCTAAAATTTCGATTAGTTGAAGGATAATACTTTAAAATAATAATTTCGATCAGTTGAAGGATAATATTCTGCTAATTTCTGAGCTGGAATCAGTATAGTAGTGATGTTTCAAAATTCTTGATTTTAAAACCTCAATCTTTTTTCTCTTTATTTAAATGATGCTTCAAGTACCACAATTCAGCTTTCGTTAATATGGATCGTGATATTGTCATTGTTCATCTCTGCAATATTTTTTTGGGCACGGAATGAGAAAGTTAACACTACCAGTTTAATTTACGATTTGAAAATTAATATTTTTTACGATTTGAAATGCAAATGCTTTCGCATGAAATTAAAAGCTCAATAATCATTTTATAAATCGGATTTGGAAAAGAATGATACAAATAACAAAAATTTTTAGCTTTAATGACATCATTTGGTGTCAGTCGCATGGTTAAGCAGATGATTAGCATTGAATCCTTCCTTCCATTTTAAGAAATAACCGTATTTGCTTTAAAATTTTTCTTTTTTTTTCTTTTTCTTATTCTATGGTGATTACTTTCTTTTAATCAATATACAGAAGCGTTGTCAAGTTTCAATTTTGATTTTGTCAAAAAATGATTTCTGGTTTAGATGGCAAGAATTACGGTTTAGTAAATAATTGTTTTCCATTTTCTCTATGCCGTTGCTCTGTTTTTCTGGGTGACAATTATTGAAGTTATTTGGTACTATTGGAGAATATTTATCTGCTCTGAAAACTTGATCATCTATATGTTTTATTCCAAAGCATTACTAAATTTTTCTTTCAAATCTTTTCAAAAATTAGAAATAGACTGACAATTTTGAATGAGAAGGAAATGATATATGATGATTTTTTTCCTGTGGACCTGAAGGTTCTTGATTTTCAAAATAATAACTAATTTGCTGTGATTTCTGGTGAGAAAAATTGGCTCGATCTGTGTGACTTAACTATACCTATAAATAAAAAAACCTCTCAGTGCGATGGAACGTTGCATCCATGCGGGGGTTGTACTTTAGTTGTACTTTAAATGACACCATTTTTTCTTTTCAACTAATGGTAAAAATTGAAGGAGTAAATGGATAAAGCTGAACGCTTTGACGAATAACACTGTGATCTTTCTGAAGGTTGTTTACAAAGTATGATTATATCATCTTTGCATACTATCTAAGAAGATTTAATACATTTCCTAATCCATTTCTTAAAATAATATTTAGGAAAGTTATTTTCAGCAATGAAATGAGTAATTGATTGTTCGGATTATAATCCATTTAATGTGATCTTAATTGCTGTTAAGTATCTCTTAATCTTACCTTTACAATGATTTGTTTTGATGGATTTTATTTATTTTGAGGCGGAATAGAAAGAAATTTAGATATTCAATGAGGGAGATGCAAAGGCATTTAAAATGGAATGAATGTTGTCATTATTTCTTATTGCTGACTGCTGTAAGCATTTTTAATTCTTTCAATATAATTGAAATTGAAGCCATCGATGGATAAAAAAATAATGAGAAAAGATGAGCAAAGATAGGATGAATTGTGATATACATTATTACATTCACATAAAAAAAAAACATTTCTCACATAGATTTGTTGTGATGCTCATTCCGGCGGATATCGAATAAAAAGTTTTGGATGAGAGTCGCCTTTCATTTCAAACAATTTATTCTTTGACTAAAACCGAAATTTTTTTTTCAATTTTTTATCGCGTTACTTTTTTGCCATTTTTAGAGATTCACTTATGAAATGTCTTCTACTCTTCTACAGCTGAATTATTAGTGGCAGATTAGCAAATGCTATTGATTTTTTTTAATTAAGAGAATATTAAGTAGTTAAAAAACACTGCATGTTCAATATTTTAGCATGAAAATTAAAAGTATTGACGTTCTTCTTAATTTCTTTCGCCTTGTAGATCATTTTCAATGTTTTCCACTGTTTCATTTAATTGTTATCATCACTACTAACAACTCGAACATTTGCTGCAGCAACAATTTTTTCAAGATGTTCATCAATATATTATGAAAATATCTATCAAAATTAAGCTAGTATTAAATGGTTCATAAGAAATTTGTTTTGCATTGTTGTGTATACGGTTATGTTGGTCATACTAAATCATGGCAGTAATTATCCTTGATGAGTTAGCGTAACATTAAGTAATTCATCCGGTGTTCAAATTTATAATTTTGGCAAGCATTTGAAAAACTGATTCAATTTATTTTTTTGACTAGTTGAATCTCTGATTAATTTCATTCTTATGTCAAAAGTTGGTGTATCACCGCATTTTTGAATCCTATATCCCATTTCTGTTTTTATTATTCCATGATCTCATTTTATTTGATTTTAAAACAGCATATTGGAACTTCAGTCATTTATTCAATTTTTGGAAGAGGATGTATTAACTTTTTGTTCCAATAAGATTTCGTTTCGGAAGATTTAAACATCTCTTTCATCATAAATACATTTGTTTATCACTAATCTCTTTGTTTGAAGTATAATTCATTTTGTGCTGCTTTTCTTCAAACATTCTGGACACTTTTTTTCCCCTCTTTGAAGGATTATTTCCTGTTAATGCTGTGTAGATGCATCTCTCTGTTATGCAGTTATTTTCATCAAGCCTTTGGTACTGGCAGTAATAATGTTTGTGCAGTATGGTGATGTGTTTGTCGATATCGAAGCAGTTAGATGGTAACTTAATTGCGGAACTCAATCGTTTGCGACCGAATTCGAACATCATCCAATCCCATCATCGTAGCAACATCTGGAGCGGAACCTCATTATTTTCCTTCCGCTTTCATTAGCTCATTTTCCCTCGTAAAAATGCCAACCAATGATTTTTGTTGTGTTGTCTATCACTTTTGAAAATCTTTTAGAATCAGTTGCCTTACTGCTATCCTGCTTATCTGCAAATCTATATTATCACATCAGCGGTTCATTCCCCCTTTTTCTCTCTTTCTTCACTTTGCTGTGAAGGTCTCATCCATTTTACAGTGATATGCTTTCAATGGTGTTGATTTCAATGATCGACTTCCGGTTGAACAGGCAGATATCAGTGGTTGTAGTTCTGCTCCTGCTCTTACTCCTGAGCAAACTTCCACAGGGTGAATCTTCCGTGTCTTCTTTTTATTAAATGCATTTTCTAGATTTCTCCCTTCTTCTTTCATAGCAGCAATACCTGATTTTTCGTTCCATTTTAACGTATTCCCGTACTATTGTATGATCCATTTTGCATTACGTGAATTGTCCTGCTATTAAACATCTAGCCACATTTTTGGAGTCTGCTAAAGTTTATTCTATTACTTCTTTAAAGATAATTTTAACAATCCAGAGAACAGCTAGTGAATTTAAAATAATTGTCAAAAATTTCATTAATTTAGAATTTACCGGTTTCCGCATTCTAAATCCTTTCTAGTAAAAAAATCAATTTCATGAATATAAAGTTTTCCTATCATAACGAAATGTCTACAAAATATGAAATCGGAAACTCTACAAAATATGAAATCGGAGCTTAAATTCTAACTGTTCTTATTGATCAATGAACATAAAAAGTTGTATTTAATTAGTAATTACAAGCCCTTTAATTAGCATCGAATCAGTCAAATTTTTATTTGGTTCATAAATGGCGTCATTTATCGGAGCTTTTGCTGCGAACGTACTAATCCAAAAACTATTTTTTAGTTAATAATATTTAGTACATATCACATCATAAGTAATAACAGCACTGATTGCAGCATGCTTTCATGTACCTTATGCTCCTGCTGCTCTCGATCATCTACAAGATCATCTGTTTCCGCATCTTATGATCCGGTAATTTGTCTCACCCAAGTCAATTTCATTTTACTATTTATTTCTTACATTTTATCTAATTAATTTTTATTGAATGCAATTTGTTTTTAAAAGAATTTTATTACCATTTTCTTTATGTAGCCTTCTCATATGTTGTCTTCAAAAAGTTTGATTCTTCGTCTGCTTTTATTTGTTTGCATTGCATCAGTAAACATATTCCAACTTCCTTTTCCCACTATTATTCTGCTTTATCATTTTCATACGGCAAAGTTTCGAAAACATTAGTTGGAGTCTTGTAATACTGGTTTTTTTGAATGTTATTTTGGAGTACCTATGATGACTTTTATATTTTAAACCGGTAAGTTTAATTCAACTACTGTTTGATAGTTTTATATGCAATAAGATGGTTTTACCACGTCTTTAGTTATAATTTCATATTTTGAAATTTCAGCATTTTTTTGAAACCATCAATCCACTGAACGGTTTTGATGGGAGAGAATCGTTGGAGACATACATGTGGGAACAGTCACTGAAGGTCGAACCAAAAGATCTCGATAAAATGGAATTTGTTGTAAGTTTCTTTGCATTATTTTACTTGGCTTCTGTTGCTATTTGATGTTATCGACCAATGATTTGGTTGTAGCGGAAATTTTAAGGTGCATATCACTGCATACAATAGATTTTAAATCTTTCTCGTTATATTTATTTTAAAAAGGAATTTGCGTTAGATCAGAAGTTATTCACTTTATTTTGTTACGTTTTAGAGAAAAATGAATTGACGACAAACAAACAGTAGCTTTTCAGGACATGTTAGGGTTTGGAGAATTATTTTTATTAACAAAGTAAAGTTAATGGTTTCTCCTGTTTACACTTATCACTTTATCTAGAAATAATAAAATTAAATTTTGCACCTTTTTTGCAATTCATCACTTTCAATTTACTGACCCAAAGATATATTAGTAAAACAAAAAATTAAAAAATATTGTCCAAAAGCAATTTAACTCTTTTTTTCTGTTTTTCGATCATTTTTTTAATATTTGTCTTCACCAACCTGTTTGTAAAGTCCTTTCAATAGAAAACATTGAAAAAAATCGCTATCTAGCTCTCTGTTTTTTATTAAGCGTTTGAACTAAGATTTAAGGAAATATTTTATATTGTTAAGTTTCTTTCAATTTTTTATCAAGAAGTATGGAGATTAAAGTAATAAGTAATTCTCATCTATGTTATCTCTGGCAAATAATGAATGAATTCTGATGCAGTTTTCTCAGGAAAGAAATACAGAGTCTTGTTTTTTACTTCTGTAATATTGAATGTTAAATTTTTTGAGAGTTATTTTTGGCAAATCTGAAAAATCATTCTTTGTTGTAAAGAGAGCTTATGATGAAAGTATCTAAAATATTTTACAAATTACGTTGTAATAATGTTCAGGTAGTTGTAAATTACGTTGTAATGACGTTCAGGTAGGTAGTTGAGTGTTATAACTGCTTCTGGAAATGGTGACATAAAAGAATTTTTTTTTTATTTCTTATGAGAGCTTTTGACGTTTCTTTACTTTATCTACATTTTTTTTCTTATTTTTTTTATCACAAATTGTTGATCACTTCTTTTTTTTTAAACATTTTTTCTTATTTTTCATTAGAAATCATAATAGTCTCGTTTACAGAAACCGTCTAGACCAGTTCACGTACTGAAATCCCCAGGTATCAAACCACCCAAAGGAATCTCATCAGCACCATCAACCAGTGGTCCATCTAACCATTATTCCGGTCATCGCACTAGTGGACGAGGTTTCTCGGCACTTAACAATTACAGTTCCAACGTATCCCACTCATCGGATATGTGAGTTTTCATTATCATAGCTTTTCAGAACGCATCATTCTATTATCATAATTTTGATAAGGAAATCTTGCAGTATCAGTTGATTCAACATATATGCCAGGTGTATTAGAAATGTTTAACATTTCGGATAGAATCCAACAATTATTTGAAAATAATTTAATAGCTGATTTTGGCAGGAAAAATGATCTCAGTTTGGTCTAAAATTAGTGCACTCTAACTGATTTTAGTTCCAGTGCTATTTAATTTTTATCTCCTCTTGCCATAAATTAGATTTGAAGAAGGATTAACTGAGTTAGATGCGGTGCACGAACATAATGTGCTGTCATATACTTGCAAAAACGAATTGATCTCGACATTGGATTACATTTTTCTTTTTTCTGAAAAACGAAAAGCAAAATTAGAGACAAATAGTTCACAGTGCTAAAAATTCATTGTTTAATAATAAATTAGAGAATACAATATATATCTAAAACCACTGGAATCGTCATGTTGTCATATTTTCTGAGGGAAATTTACGAATTAATGCTATCTTTATTTTGTAAATTAAATTATGGTAATAACTGCTCAAATAAAATGCCAATATTGTAGACTTTTCTATTCATGTGCTGGTTTAACATTATATCCTTTCTGTTATCTCTAAAAAATAAGAGAATGGATTGAATTACATACCTAAAGAATGCATTTATTTCCTGGAGAAAAATAACTATTTGAACTGAAAAATAATTTGACTATTTTTCTTCATGATATGTTTGGCAGTCAACAACTGAACTCTTAACAACTCTTTGAACTAGTTAATCACTTCTGATAACGGTTTCATATCTTACTTTTGCCTACACTTTTTAGATCACGTCCCAGTTTCCTGCCAAATTTCGAGGATCGAAATTCTTATCTTGGAATGGTTGAAATCACTCCAGGTTAGTTCAGATTTTTATGTTTACTTTCTATTTGTATAGGAGAATAAAATGATTGATCCGCTGCCATTTTAAAAATGGACTGATTACTTTTTGGAATAAATTTATAAAATTGGTAGATTAAAGCAGATCTCTATAGTTTCAAATATTCTATATCTCTAGGTCAGCAACCACGGTATCTTGGTGACGCAAAGCGCGGTACTCAGTCAACAATTGCTTCACCAACAGAACCACGAATTCCGCCAATAATGCCAAGGGTTAGGCATCGAAGCGACAAAGCATCCTCAACACCACCAAGTCCCCGTTCATCACAAAATGGGCATTTTTCTGCTCCTTCACCACCTCCTCTCTATCCACGAAAATTGTCAACCCAGGAACAACTGGCTCCACCACCACCTCTAAAGGTTTCAACTCATACAACTCCAGATTTAAATGCTCCTATTCCGCCTCACTCTGCTCCATTTTGTACTGTTCGTCCAGGTTCGCTCATTTTAAAATAAGCATAATTATTCATTTTTCATTGTCGACTGGGCATTTCGTCATAGTGCATTAGTAACTTCAATCACAATTTTGGCATTTTCGAATTACTTAAAATTTTTTTCATATTTCGATGCTGTGATATTCTAAAAGTTTCAGATTCTTTTGTTTTTCCGCCATATGGAGGAAATGCAACCCAAACAGCAGTTTTGGAAAGTAGCTCCACTGTAGCACAAACAACAAGTATAACTACTCCAGTAGTACCACCAAGGAAAAAAGTGGAGCAGCTACCATCGCCGCTGTCTGATGATGCTGTGCGCGTCGTGTGGAATAAGTTAGAGTTAATTTCTCAAATTTTCTACAAATTGGCTCTCAAATTTATAAAAATGGAAGTGCAGATTTTTGCCAATAATATTTGTAATGGCCATGCTAACTTATAAAGAATTTTTAGGGAAACAAAGTCAACACAACCTAATGTAAGCGCTGTTATATCACTATCTTCATTATCGCAGAATTCAAATCAAAATAATGCTACTACAACACCAAAACTTTATCCACGACGATCCTGTCAAGTCGAACCACCTCCAAGGCCACCAAAATTGTAAGTTATTCTTCTACATACCTTTATAGATTATTGTGACATTATGATCATTATATGCATATGAGCATATCTTCAGTGTCAGACGTATATTTATGCGTAGTATATTTCAGACTTAACAATAAAAAACCGCAAGAATTATTTGGTGAAAAGCTGGTTACAGAAAGAAATGGTTTCAATTCGCCTCCTCCGTTACCGCCAAAAACTTACAAACGAAAGCAGCAGCATAATCGCCCACAATAATTTCAAGGCAGACGTAGAATGTTTCTTCCAGAGTAATATTTTCGAGCCATTACAAATAGTTTAAAGATCCCGTTCTAAATGGCTTTTATCTGTTACTGTCAGTTGTAAAGTAGTTTTGAATTGATGTTGTTTGCCGTTCCAGTCTGAATTATAAGGCACATATGTATATGATGATAACTGATAACACGAAATACAGCATTTGTAAATAATTATATAATTAACCTGCGATATCTTCAAACTTTTTTATCTTCTTTTTTCATAGAATGATGTGTTTGGTAGGAATGGAGTTTGACGAAAGATCTTTAGTTTCTTCTAGTTAAAGAAGAGGGGAGCATTTGTTCTGATAATAGAAAAAATTTTCATTCATGGAGATTTGAAAACTAAAGTTTTAGCTATTATGAATGAAATCCTATCCTTTCAGAACTGATGTTCGACCTCATTATGGACTTTTGTTGCAAAAGTTCATAATGTGCAGCGCTGTAGTATTTAGCTTTTCACAGTAGTGCCTTTATCACTGTTGATTCTTCGTACTTTGTGACGGGTTCTTTTTGTTAATCAGTAATTTGATTAATAAGTACTTAAAGTTGTACAACCTTAGATTCTAAACTGCAATTTTACTCAGAGTATAGTGCATGTACTCCTCTCTGCCACACTTTTTCTTCATTTCCGTTATTGAGCTCAACGTATATTTATAATTTATTAATTTAATGAATTATTCGATATGATTCCATCGAACTTCTAATGAATTACTAATGATCATTTGAACTTTAAAGTTTTTCTTTAGCTTCCGAGAGGTAAAAATTCAAAGATAAAAATTCTTTTTTCAAGATTAAAATTCTGAAGTTTTCGAAATTAGGATATTTTGAATATAATGCTAATTTATTCAGAATTTTGACCTTACCGATCTATCGTCCTGTATGGCACTTGACAGGACGAATACCGATTGTGCCATATTGTAGTAGCTGTTATTTTCCTACATTTTAAATTGAAACTGTGATACTTCTCCACTTTTTTTTGTACATGTATTATTTCAAATCTTACAATACTATTTGCCTGTGTTTAATTTTTAAATTTCGCTCAGTTCATTATTATTCAGAAAATAACTGATTCGTTCTCTATTATCTGTTAATATACGTTATTCCTGTTCCTATTCCCTTTAATTTTTACTAGTTTGTAATTTGTTACCGACAGAGTTAACAATCAAACATGAATCTCTAATTTAATGGAATTTGAATTTTACAGTAAAGATTTATGGAAAATTTCATGAATGCACATTTGTATTCGAAGAGCATGGACTTGTAAGGATGATGCTTGAAAGTGAAGAAAGGTAAACATTGTTATCTGGATTTTTTTGAGAATTTTTGATGCAAATTTTTAAAACTTCTGCTATCATAAATAGTTTTGGAGCAAAGAAATAGCAAAATAAATTAAAAATAAGTTTCATTGGCGAAGTATGAGGTTTTATTTCGTTGGAAATATTTCGGATTTTTCTAACCATGGGTTTGAACTGTGAACTATAAAACGTAATTATTGACCATTCAGCTTTTAAAATGTGCTTGTTTATGGCACCTCTCAGTCAGAATATCTTCATTTAGCAGTTAGTCATTTCCTGTGCATCTCATCGCTGATTCACATGCTCAGCATGAAAATATTTTTTTGAGCAATCAAAAATACCTATATACTTTTCTATTTAAAGTTTTCTATTTTAAATATATTTCATCTGTGATATCATGGTGACAGTCTTTATGTCGGTTATGGAAACAGACTAGTTTTCTTTTAAAAATTTGAAAAACTCAATTGTCCTTCAGATAATGTCTGGATAGTTGTACCACTTTCACGTGAAAATTGTATGACATTTCACAAAAATATAGACAAATATAAATGTGTATGTATGTGTATGTACGTATGTGTGTGTGTGTGTGTGTATGTATGTGTGAAGAACGTTAAATAAGCAAGGAAACCCTTAATTTTGATACTGATCTTATTGATGACACAGCGGAAAGTAAATATGGTTTTAAAATTTTATTACTTAAATAGACGATTAATTATAAATTTGTGTAAAATTACTTTGAATGTTCAAATGCATTATTAACTTGTAAATTGTTAACCGAGGAAGAAATGGAAAAGATAATGTTTTATAAATAGTATAAAATTGTCCTTTGTTATGATTTGTCTTTTACTATAGAATTTATCGATAATACAATAGGGATTCAGATTTTTGTTGATAAAAAATTGAAGAAATTAATACATTGTATAATCATTGTTTTCTTTGTTAGACGTTTTTTGTTTTTGAACATGAAAAATGGTTAGTTTTCGAAATAAATTAATAATCCAATTCCATCGATTATTCATCGATCTCTTCCCTTTATGAAACAAATTTAATTAATTTTCTTTGATTTCATTTAATCCCATACATATTTAAATCTTTATAAGTGCAAAATAAGAGGAATTTTCATTGACATTTATTTTACATTAATACAAAAAT